GGGGAGATGTGTGTAAGGGGCCTGCACAGGACCTGCTGTGCGGTAGGCAGGTGTGCACTCGGGTGGTGGCTGTCGCTTCCCTCAGTTACCCTGCTCTCCTCCCCTGTCCTGCCACACGTTGCAGTAGGTTGTTTAAAACCCCACCTCCAGCACTAGGTATGCACCCAAACAGCAGGGACTTCCTCTCTCTCTCTCAGCTCCTGGCCTGGGTTCCATGGATGCAAATGAGGGAAACACACCCAGGCTGACTGAAGCCAACAGGGAGTCCAGTGGGAGCCAGTGAGGCCCCCACAGGATGGAAGTGAAGCCTGGAGACCCAGGCATGGTGCAGACAGGCACCAAACCCCAGAGCTTCTCACCGCAGATCCTGACCTGACGTGAGTGCTCTCTCTGTGTCTCTCCCATTGGCTCCTTTTGGGTCACGTGTCCAGCTCTCAGCTAGAGGTGAGCTGAGAACAGGTCCACCAGACTCGGCCCAGCAGGTGAGTTAGTTCCCTTAACAGCAAGGGGATGTTGTTACCGAGAGCAAGTGGGATGGGCGCTGAGCAGCAGCCAAAGCCCAGCAAGCTTCCAAGTATGGATGAGGGCTGGGTGCTCTTGGCAATAAGTTTCAGAAACCTTGACCCAAACAATAGTGAAATGCATCGTCTCTCTATGGAAGTATGCACGTGGCCGGGGGCTGAGTGGCTCAGTGACTCACAGCACCATCAGAGCCCCATGTGCTTTCCACTCCCAACCCTGCCAGGAGCTGGAGTGCACTCCAGACATTAGGTCCAGACCTGGACCAGAGAAAGGAAAGAGGCAGGCTCCTCCTACAATGCTCCTGAGAAGGGTGAACTCCCCCTTGAGTCTCACAGGCCAGAGCGTCGGGTCACACGGCCTTTTCTTGAAACAGACACCAGCCAGGAGGGACGGCATAGTTTAGACTAATCTCCTGGGTGGAGAGAAGTTGAGGAGTCAGCCCTGGGTCTGCTTCTGGACCAATGTGGGACCCACCCATCCAGCTGAACCTGCAGCTGGCCAGGAGGGCTGAGCCCCACGGGCAAGAGCAGTTTCCATGAGTAACCAGCAGGTGGAACAAGGTGCTGCGACTGAATCTTAGCTCCAGGCTCTGCTCACACAGTGGGAGTCAGAAAATACTTCCCGTGTCTTCTGTCCTTTCCTTTCCGGTGTTAAAGTCTTACTCGCTTCAATAGACACAGAAGATTCCAGAGAACCAGAGAACAGGACCCCCGAACATGGGCGCCCACTGCTTCTGGCTCAGGAAGGGAAGGAGTCCGCTGAGAGTCCTGTGCTGGGAGCACGGTTCGTGTTCCAGCTCGGCCTCCGACCAGCTGTGTGGCCTTGTAATTCACAGTCTTCCCTGTGAGGCGGGGACAAGACGTGCAGCACATCCTAGCCTGACATCCATCTGGTAGGAGCTGGACGCATGGGCGTCCCTGCAACCCAGGCTCCGCCTGCTAGGCCAGGGGGACCCCGGTGTGGGCCCTACCAGCCCTCCGGCCTTTGTCTCATCTCTCTGCTCCCTTCCATGGTGACTTCTTCTCTGCCTGTCCTCCTCCTCCCCTCCTCTCTGCACTCTTCAGCCCACTCCCATCAGCACTGACTCCGTTTACACACTCTCCTCTTGGGTCCCAGGACCCCACGTGCCCTGGGTTTCTCCTTCTACCTCCCGGTTACCCTCTGTCTCCTTTGCCGCCTCTTTGTTACCTGATTGACCTCTAGCTCAGTCCTGGGCCCCTCTGTCTGCACTTGGGACGGGGAATCTCAGCTCGGCCCATGGTTTTCAACACCAGCTGTGTGCCGATGACTCACTGACAGAAAAACTCCATGTTTTCTTTACACTCAATACTTTCATTTCAACAAATGTGTGGGTTTTGCACACCAAGCAGCTCTGACACTAACTGCCTGGAGTTAGCACAGACCCCCCCAGGCTAAGGGCGCAGCCCCAGAAGCCTCCCTCTCTCTTGCCCTCTCCACCCTTCAGACAATAATCACAAGTCCAGGTTGTCACCCTTGCTTCTGACTGACCAGCTGCACATCAGAGACTCCTAGGACCCCTCCTTTCATAATTTGCTGGAATGGCTCACAGGACCCAGGAAAACGGTTTACTAAGTTGGGATTTACCACAAACGGACCCAAGTCAGGAGCAGCCAGATGGAAGAGATGCTCAGGGCGAGGTACTGGAGGACGGAGCAAGCTTCCCTGCCCTCTCCGGGCCGCCACCCTCCCAGCACCTCCACGTGTTCACCAACCTGGAAGTTCTCCCAGCCCCTGCAGTTAGGGTTTTTAATGGAGGTTTCGTTCTGTAGGTGTGATTGATCAAATCACCGGCTGCTGGTGATTGACTCAGCCTCCCCAGCCCCCCAGAGAGGTGGGTTGGGAGGGGTGGGGAGCTAGATGTTCCAACCCTCTAAACATTAGGTTGGTTCCCCTGGCAACCAGTCCCCCTCCCCCTCTCTTTTTGGGGCTTTCCCAAAGTCACTTCATTAACATAAACTCAGGTGTGGTTGAAAGGGGTTTGTTCTGAATCACAAGAGATGCTCCTTTCACCTTAGTTACTGGAACGTTTCAGGAGCTGAGGACAAAACCAAATATTATAAGAAAAATGCTCCTATTACTCTTACCACTTAGGAAACTGCAAGGTTTTAGGAGCTCTGATTCTGACCAGGAGCCCAAGGGCAAAAACCAAAATATATATTTCTTCTATCACAAAATCACATCCTAAATCCCTCTGCCAAGTTTTAGACTCAAAATCCTATTGCCCTTTATCTTGTAACCTATAATGAAAAAGAATGTGAAAAGGAATATTTGGATGTATATGTATGACTGAAAGATGTTGTCCCCAGAAATTGGCACAACATTGTAAATTGACTATACTTCAACTTAAAAAGAAAAAAAAAAAGTCCTATTACCCTCATGACAGCGCCACTTTGACAGTTCAGACCAAACATTATTAACAACAACTAGGATGTCCCTCTGCCTGGTTCCTTCCCATCTCGGTGGTAACACCACTGTGCACTCAGGGCTCCAGCTTCTTCCTCACCCGCCTCGTCCAGTCCCTCAGTTCCTCATCTGTTCAGTCTCCCAAATGGGTCCCAAATCCATGCCCTTTATTCCTTCTCTACTCCTCGAATACTAACCGAAGCCATCACTCTCTCACACCTGCCCTTTCATTTTTGCCTTCCCTATAATCCAGTTCCACCCAGCAACCACAGTTATCTTGGTAAAATCAAACTCTCTCAGTGGATGAAAGGATAAACAAAATGTGGTCTGTCCACACAATGGAAGGAAACACTCACACAGGCGACAACAGGGATGAACCTCAAAAGCATGCTGAGTGAAAGAAGCCAGCCACAAAAGGCCACATGTTGCATGATCCCATTTATATGAAATGTCTACAATAGGCAAGTCCATAGAGATAGAAAGCAGATCAGTGGGTGCTTAGGGCTGGAGGTAGGCAGGAGCGAGGAGTAACTGTTTAATGGGGACCAGGTTTCTTTTTGAGATGATGAAGAAGTTCTTAAATAGAACAGTGGTGAAGGCTGTACAACATTATGAATATGCTAAATGCCACCAACCATACACTTTATAATATGATTAAAACGGTAAAGTTATGTTACAAGTACCTAACCACAGTAAAAACAAATCAAGCTGTGACTGTCTCACTGCTTAGAGCCCCCATGGCTTCCTGCACTTTGAAGTCCAGCCTTCCCATTGGCCTCTGCCCTCTTCTCCGAATTACTTCTCACCACTATCTTCCCTTCTTACCCTGCTTCGGTAATTCTGGCCTCCCTTTGGTTTCTCACCAGGCCAAGCTATTTCCCACCTCAGGCCCTTTGCATGTACTGTTTCTGCCACTTAGAAGATTTCCCCCTCTCTTCATGGGCAGCTCTATAAGCTTTCTGTACTAATTTAAATGCCACAGAGAAGCCTTCCTTGACTCTCCTGCCTTAGTGGGGCCTCATCGCTCTCCCCACCACTGTTATTCTCTGCCATAACCTCCTGGCCATTTCTTTCATGTTTCATAATTTGGTCTTTGTGTGTCTCCCTGTAGAGAGTAAGTTTGATGAGAGGAGGTGGGGCCTGTCTGTCTCATTTGCCTCCGAATGCTGTGTCTAGCACACAGCTGACACTCAGAAACTATTTGCTAAGTTAATGAAAGATCACCCAGCTAGCATGACCTTTCATCAAGGGAAGGGATGGAGGCAGGATTTAAACCCAAGGCTCTTTGATGCCAACTCCTGTGTTCTTACTACTCTTTCCTATGATTCTGAGCTATGAAGCAGAAGTTTGAGCAAAGTACCAGAGAAGAGGGTCAAGGTTAGCAAAGATCTTTTAATGTAGCCCCATCACCATACATATGTGCCCGCACCTGGTGCAGATATCCTTGTGTGGCTGTCACTGCTGTAGATGAATCACGTCTGCTGGGAAAGGAGCCTCTCGACCCAGATGGCAGGTGTAACTCTGGGAAATCCAGAGTCTTGCCCCAGCTCTGGCTGAGATCTCATGTACTTCTCTCCTCCTTTCTGTGTTTGTGCATTCTCCTAGAGCCTGGCATTTCCCCTAGGAAGGGAAGTGGTCAAGTGCAGCAGCTGAAAACACTGCCCTGGGAGAACCAAAACCAGCAGAGATAGCCTTCTCTCTTCTTGCTGGGTAAAACCAGAACTGGCCACTGCCCAGCTTTTCTAGGACACAGGCAGGCCCAGGCCCAGGGGCCGTGCTTAGAGAGCTTCCTCAAATGCTCCATGAACGTCAAAAGGCAGGGTGCCCAGAAAGCGCCTGGGGCAATGACTGCCACATCCTTGAGCAAGCTGGGCTCACTGCTTGGTAAGAAATGTGAAGGATGGCGGGTGGGGCCGCAACTCCCTTGTGAAAGAGAACTGTGTCGGCATCACCCAAACCAGAGAACACATCCTTCCTTTAGAGCAGGAGTTCCTAATCTGTTTGGTAATGTGGGTCCTCCTCTTAGAGCAATGTTTTTGAATGTGTAAAATAGAGTGCGTCCTAGTACAGAGGACCCCAGTTATCCTGAAATGCAGTTATTGGATTATTTTTCTAATTGTGATAAAGTAATATGTGAAGTTCTCTGTGAACACATTAAACTATGAAGAACTAAGAACCAGTTTGATAACTACTGTAATTTTGAAGTAGTGGTAAGTATAAGTTCTATTCTGAGATATCTATAAATACTACATTACAATTTGAAAACATCTTTGATTTTGATTGACCACAAAGTCATGGCTGCTGCTAATACAACTGAAGTTTGTTACCTACATTCTGAAGGTTACTTATAACTGACGGAAATGGTAAATTTCAGTTAGAGGTTAATGAAAATTAAGATGTGATTTTTTTTTCCCCATCCAAGTTTATGGACTTCTGTGGACCACAGGTGACTCTGCTCTAAGGACTGTTGGCATCATGTCCTCAACTCCAAAAATGGGAGCTCTTTGAGAACAGGGTTGTCCTTTCATCTTACAATATTAAGTACCTAGAAAGGGCCTGCCGCACAGTAGGTATCCAGTGCCAGTCTATTGAGCCTCTTGGATTTTCTAGGTAGACAATCACATTGATTGCAGATGATAGTTTTTCTCTTTTCAGTCTTTGTACTTCATGTTTCTTTTCTTGTCTTACTGCATCAGCTGGGATCTTCAGTACAGTGTTAAACAGAAGCAGTGATGGTCAGCATCCTTATTATGCTCAATATTCATTTATTAATTTATGCTATTGCATAATTACATAATGGAATGTAAAGTACCCGCTATGTGTCAGACTCTCTGCTAAAGATGTTAACACAATTAAGATCTGTTCCTGTCCACCAAGAAGGCTGAGTATTAGAGGGATCCCAGTGAAAATAGCCATATTGAGAATATTTCTAAATTCTCCAGACTTGTGGACCGGCTCCCTCAAGATCCTGATTCCTTAAAAAGTATAGAAGTAGGTCCCTGCTGGCGGCTCCAGTCTCCAGGGCATTGGTAAGGTTGGCAGCTGCAAGCTTCCCCAGGAACACTGCAATGAGGGCCAACAAGGCAGCACATGGGAAGCATAATGAGTGATGCCTCCAGCAGGGGTCAGCCAGAGGGTCAAGCTAGGGGCAGCATTTGAGCCTTGCCATCATAGGTCCTGTTGAGACCACAGCCATCTGTACTAAGCTTAAAACTACAGGCAGGACTAGTTGTTAAAACCAACAGAAAGGAGATTGCAGCTTTGAGGTGGGCAGTTAGGAGATGGGGATACCTGAACCTGTTCCCTTACCCTCTTTCCATCCCTAACACTAAGGGAGTGAACGCACGGGAGGGACTGGGAAGAACAGTCCACACATTCTCTCCACTTGCCTCGCTGGCCCTGGCGGAGGAAGGGAATTTTTAATAAAATATAAAGTTGAAGTTTAGAATGGATCAGACTATGTCTTAGGGATCAGAATGGGACTGTTGTAATAACAATATGTGACTGAGAAGGCAGGTCCGACTGAGATGCTTATAAGAAAGCCTGCTACCCCGCAGGAAGCAGGAGACAGGATCGGGAAAGCAGACTTGACAATGGAAACTATCTCTGCGTATGCAGAATCCTGGCGCCCCATAGATCTCCAGAACCTGTGACTGTGCTACATTACGTGGCCGGAGGAACTTTGTAGGTATGATTAAGTCAACGATCTTGAGATGGGGAGATTATCCTGGCTAACTCTTCAGTACTTAAACATTAACTGTTTACATGGGTCTTTTTAAGGGGGAGGGAGAAGGGTCAGGTCTAGAGAAGGAGACGTGATGATGAAAGCAGAGGTCAGAGTGATGCAGCCAAGAGCCGAGGAATGCAGACAACCTCCAGGAGCTGGAAGAGGCAAGGAAAAGAGTCTCCCCTTGAGCCTGCAGAAGGAGCACAGCCCTGCCAACACCTTGATTTTAGCCCTTCAAGATTCCCTTGGATTTCTGATCTCCAGTGCTTTGTTGTTTTAAGTGTTATTTTTGTGTTGTTTTGAGCCACTGGGTTTGTGGTAATTTGTTACAGCATCCACAGGAAACTAACACAGTTTCGAGGAGTTAAGACTCCCCCCTCCCTGCAACTGAACCAGAAGCAGGGAGGTGTGTAGAAGGTACATGGCTTCTGCCCTTGAAAGTTTGGGACAAGTGGTCTTTTGGGGTAGATGGAGGCTAATGGCATAACTGATTCCAGCACGGACAGTGCCAGACATGAGGTATGAACAGAGTTCTAGGAAGCTTGGGCAAGGGAGGGCCCACAGGGGAGGGACATTACAGCTGGGCCTGGGGGGAGAGTAGGAGGTGGCCTGAGTAGGGGTATGCTCCATCTCCAGGCAGGAAGGCTCCTCCCTCATGCCAATACCAGCCCTACAGCCCGGCACATCCAGCCTCATCCCCCTGTCTAGGGGTGTCCTGGCACCTTCCAGGTTAGCCACCTCCTTAGGGCAATCTGCCCACCATACACCTCGTGCACTGCAGACACTGTACAGGGGACAGTAAGGCCACTCGGGGCCACCCTTAAGTAATCAAGTGTTGTCGGTGCGGGTGCTTGGGGGAGAGGGCAGGGAGCAGGAGCCAGCCCTTCTGTCCCGACTGTGTGTGGTGGGGAGGAGGGTGGACCTGCTCCCAGTTCATCCCGTCGGAGGAAGGAAGTGGTTCCCTCCTCCCACCCCTTCTCCTAGGGTCGCCGGGGCCGGGATTCTCGTGATTCGCGATTGGCTCCCACGAGCGGGACCTTTGTCCATCTGCGGGGCTGCGGGAGGCCCAGGCCGGGCTCGGGCCTGCGGAGCGGGCGGAGGCCGGGTTGGGGGAAGCTAGAGACCAACAGGGAGACTGACGGACAGGCAAGAGCGGGGGCCCGGGGACCGGCCGCCCGCTGAGTCGGAGGGC